CTGGTACCAAGGACCTTTCTCATGCTTTCTCATATTACTACCTACTCTACTCTCTACCCTACTATCATGCTCCACCTACTCTATACTCCAGCTGAACTGGACTCTTCTCTATCCAGGAGATGTGACCTCCTTGAAGGGAGGGATTATTTTTTTTGTCTTTGTACCCTGGTGTGTCTCGCATGCTGTTTGACATAGAGTAAGAGCTAGATCAGAGCTTGATTTGTTGGATTAAATTCTATTTGGAATTCTTCCTGTATTTTCTTGCCTCACTGGCTTTGTTTAAGCTGTTCTTTGGAATGTCTTCCATCCTGCTCTTCACCTGTTGAATTGGTCAACTCCACTCAGTTCAAATGCCATTTCCATGAAGCCTTTCTCCCCCTCCTGTCTCACAGCACTTTGTTCCACCTCTTGAAAAGTATTTCTAGGCTCAGGATTTAAAGTGAGAAGGAACCAGAGAAATCTAAGAGATTCTCTCAGAAGAGGAAATGGAATCTCCAAGAGCTTAAGCGACCTTCTCAAAGTCACATGGTCAGTAAGCAGTAGAGCTAGGATCTTCGGACTGGAGATCTCATTGATCTTTCCCTGTCGTCCTGTATTAATTTGCATTGTGGAGTACAAGGCAGCATAAAATGTAGGCTATTCTTCTTAGCTTTGGGGTTGTATCTTCCCACTGAACTGGTAATTCTAAGAGGGTAGGGATCTTGTCTTATCTAAACATTGTGTTGCTCCTAGCTCCCACCTGGGTGCTCTGCACACAGCTGGAACTTAATACATGCTTGTTGTTGTGAATTGACTGTTCCGTGTCTGGCACGTCTCTCTCTCTCTCTCTCTCTACCATTCATTCCACTGGGCCATTTGTCTGGGTTTGCAGCCATTCTAACCTCCAACTTGCCTGATACTCATACTCTTTTCTAGCTAAAATTTTAGGCATCGGGGCTGGGGATGACCTCACGCATTATAGTTCACTTTGTTTCTGGGAGCATGCAGTGTGACCAAGCTGAGCCATCACTGGCTCCTGTCAGGGTCCTGGGCATCTGGGACAGCACATGCCAGGAGGAAGGCGTAGGTCTGAAGGCTCCAAGCTCTGCTCTTTGAATGCCTTCCTTCCTTCTTCCCCCCTTCACTGCATTTTCAGCCTCACTGAAACTGAAAGCCCCATGGGGCCCAGTGGTATCTTGGTTCTGGCTGAATCCTTCAGCAACTTCATTTGCATAACTGAGAGGCCTCCCCAGGACATGTGTCAGGTTGGTTAGCTATCTCCTGAAACCTCTCCCTCAGGGATGACTCACTGAAAGTCTTCATTCTCTGGCCTTCTCCTTCCCAGCTCAGAGCTCGGGAGCAGCTTGGAGCTATATCCTCTGGGGAACCACCCAGACGCTGGCTTGTATGAGCAACATTGTCCCTTCCACCTAAGTCTCTTCCTGGTATAGGGAGACTTCATTTTTTTAAAAAAAGACCTGCTTGAAGACATACATTCTTACGGATCTCCCAAATGAGGCCCACGATTCTTTAAGGGACTTTGATACCCCTGGAGAAGGACAGAATGATAAGCCTGGTGCCACCAAGAATTTATAAAGAATAACAAAAGAACAGCATGGACAGTCTCCAAGACCCAGAAATAGGACTTTTAAATATAACAGGGAGATTAGAAGGCAAACCCTTTCTATGGGATTCAAATGTTCACTAAGAGCTTAGAGGATCCACAAAAGGGAAATAGAGGCAAAGCTATACACTTAGTGGAAAGAGTCAGACAACTTCAAGCAGATCTCCCTCTCTCGTGGGGGGGTGGGGTTGTGCCTCCAAATAAAGCAGTTTCAGACACAATATTTTCCTTATTTGGTAGTCCAACAACTCACCTATAACTTAGTCTGAAGAGAGTTGTTTGGGGAACTGAGAGGTGAAATGACTTGGACACAGTCACACAGCCAGTCTGTGCATGACACCCCATATCTGCATCTCACCAGGTTACATGTCAGTCAGATAGTCAATATTATTTTGCCAAACCTTCTAACTGGTGCCCTAGCCTCTCTCTCCCCAGTTCTTTCCTCCCTTCATATCTGCAGCACAGAGAACAGGAATAATTAAGTCATTTTCCAAATTTCGCTTAGAACATTCTAATAATGCTCAGTCTTGATACTATGGCACCGCAGAAAACCATTTCCCACCTCCTCTGACCCCCTTAAGCTTCTTTGGCCTGACTTTAAGCTATCCAGTGGACATTGTTTTCCTTTGATCTTCCCAACAACCCAGTGAACAGAGTTCCATAGGCAAGATTATTCTTATTTTACAGTTGAGGAAACTGAGGCTCAGAGTGGCCCGGGGATTTGGCCAGGGCTACATAGCTCACGGGTGGCAGCAGTGGGATCCTCACCTACAGGCATATTGGCAAAGCCAAAGCAAGGCCCAGGAGGCCAGAGAGTCCTAGGGGGCCTGGTGTGTGATCATTTTCTCCTCCCTCAACTGCCCCTTGTTTCCTGCTTCCTTTTGGTCAAAGAAAAGCGGGAGCCCAGAAGAGTGAAGGAACACAGTAGGGAAACAAAGCCCCGGGCACCATGTGGCCTGGGCCCTGGGCCCGGCATTTCTCGCGCTGCTTTTCTGCTTTTCTAGTCGCAGCCCTAGGGAGGAACATCAGTTTTCCATTCCTTCCCTTCCATGGTCACATCCTCCTTTTCTAGTCCCTCTGAGTCCTGAAGACAGGGAGTGTGGTATAGATCACCTTCAAGCCAGGATGACCCAGATTCAAGTACCACCTCTGCTGTATCCTGGCTGTGTGAGTCTGGTCAAGTCACTTTCCGTCTTAGTGACCCAGGCCGTAGAGAAGGTGCTGATGGGATTGACCAAGGGAGTTCCCTGTACCAATGAAAGCACAGGGGCAGTCCCTCCCCCTCGTCCTCTCCCCTCTGAGTTCCAAAGGGATCTAGAGAGTGGCCACTCGCTCTTGCTTGAGTGGCCTGGTAGGCAAGAACAAGGCATCTGGGACAAGCTTCCTTGCCCTGCAGGGCCCAAGCCTCAGGATACAGCCAGCTGCAGCCCTGCTAGGAGGGGAGTCAGCATGGGCTGGAGACCTGTGGTGAGATTCTAGCATACTCTGTCAGCCCTGAGAGGGGCTGGAGGGAGCTGGCTTCTCTCCTAATGACGGACCCCCCGCCTCATAGCCACACATGTACATACATCCAGAAACACACACAGCCACACAATGTATGTGCATCCACAATGAAATACACACAGCCACACATGTATGCATGTAGACACAGAAACACACAGCCACACATGTACAGAGAAATACACATAGCCATACATGTATGCATGTACATACATACAGAAACATACACACAGCCACAATGCATGCATGTATATATATATATATAGAAATACACATAGCCACATGCACATACATGTACATGTGTGCCGAAACATACACACACACACCTGGGTTTAGAGAGGGTAGGGATCTTGGCAGTCATCAAGTCCAATTCTCTCAAGTATATGGCACCAGGCCAGGAAGATGGCAGGCAGCCATGGGTGAAGGAGAGGCAGGGTATGGACCAAAGAGACAGCTGCATACGTAGGCAGGTCTCCTCAGAGGTGAGGCCACAGTGAGCCAAGTAGTGAGTGGCAGAGCCAACATTTGATCCCAGGCCTCAGGCCTTAGAATTCAAATTTCCTGTTCCTCACTAGATCGAGGGGCCCTGATTAGGATCAGCAACAGTGATAAGTGGCGCTAGCTCAGCAATGCCCGTCAGAGCCAAGGGGAGGAGAAAAGGAAGCGGGAACAGGAGAGAGAGCATGAAAAAGAGGAAGAAAGAGAAGTAGAACATGAGGAAAGGAGGGGGAGAATGAAGAGGCACAAAAAGAAGAATGGGAGAGAAAAGGTTTCTAGTGATGCCCAGAGGGCCCACCTAACAACTCTGCTAGTGACACTGGCTGCCTTTCCTTAACCTAAAGAATTGGATTTCTTTACTTATTTCTTTATTTCTTTATTTTAAATTTTGGCTAGGCAATGAGGTTAAGTGACTTGCCCAGGGTCACACAGCTAAGTGTTACGCGTCTGAAGCCGAAGAATTGGATTTTTTAAAAAAAATCAAATGTGAGCATTAGGTTGACTCTGACTCTATGTACTTATGCCTTATACGAGATTGTAATGGAACCTAATGTTTGGCATCATGGGACCCTCGGTAGGTATCCCGCATCTTCTAACTTTACTCAGCTACTTGTGGTCTCCTGATCATCCTCAGGTGGGACTTTCAGCTCATTTACAGAGGACTTCAAGACCTCAGGATTGAATGCTAGAAAGATCCAAAGGTTCCCTAATGGAATCCTCTCATTTTACACAGAGGGAAACTGAGGTCCAGAAGGATGAACTAGCTTGCCCAATATCTGGACCAGATGACTTCCCCAGTACCTTTCAGCTTGAAATCTTGGATTCCATAATGGTGGATTTAGAGCTGGAAGTTGAAGTGACTGCCTTGGAAGGTGGCGGGCCGCCCCTTTCTGGAGGCCATGAAACAAAGGCTGGATAGCTAATTGAAGGAAATGTGGTAGGCGGACTCTGCCATTCGCTGATTCCATGATCACACAGCTTCGATTCAGGCCTCTGCTTTTTGCCTCCAAATCACCCCACCACGCTGCTGCCTTCTAAGGCTCAGTTGAATATGAAAGTAAAATTTGTAAAGGGGTCTCACCACGGCCAGAAGGGCCCTCATAGTGCACTCTACAAACACGCAAAGGCTACGAAGAAGGAACGCTTTGATTTGAGACAGTGCTCATGCTTCTCAGTTACCTGTGCCTAATTCTGGGGCTCCTCTTTAGTCCTTCCTTCCATTGTCCTTATTTCCTTAGGCCACAACCTTGGCCCCTCTTGGTCATCTAACGCTAACTGTCAGAATGTGGTGCTTTTGAGCCCCCCACCCCACCATCATCTACCTCCTGTGGCCATCTCTGACACCAGCCATGTTTTCTCCCTGCCCTCCCATATGGCCCTGAGCGGGGAAGGTACTCACTGTCACTACCCAGTCATTGTTGCTCCAATTCATTGACCACCCACCTCAGTCCTGACTCAATGCTGGCGGCTTCCCAGATGCATTAAGCTGCCCAGACGTGGAAGGTGGGATTCGATCAGCACAGACACCGGCTCTGGAGACATATTCTTACAGTCCAGAGAGGAAGGACAGAGTGAGCAAAACCCCACCCTTTCACAGCCACTCAGTTCCCCTTTTTTTGTTTCCTGACTTAAACCAATGTCTTTTTTTTTCTTCTCCCTTCTCAGAGGCATGATATCTTATTTCCCCTTCCATCTGCTTGGAACCCCCAACACTGCCACCATGAGTTGGGCTCAGAAAAAGCCCTCTCCACCTACTTTGGTGGCGCTGAGACTCAGGCCATGGAGCCTAGCCCAAGCAGTCAGGTCATAAAGGTAGAAGACAACCTTGGCTTAAAGGTGGCAGGAATGGGCAGGACACAGGGAGCAAAGCTAGAGAGGAAAGAGAAACACAGAAATGGGGGGCATGGCAGGGAGAGGGAGACAGACAGGTCAAGCGCTTGATGAAGAAGAGTTGTATTAGAAAACCTTTGGCCCTCTAAGGGACAGGGGTTTGGAAGTGAGACAACTAGAATTAAAGGGAGGTGTGGGGCAAAGGGGATAGTTTCTCCATAGAACCCCAGTTTCCAGAAAATGACAGAGCTAGAGATAGGAAGACTTCCTCTGTTGAGTAATTTTCTAAGAAAAATTTTTTTTTCTGCAGATAAAAATGTCAGAACATGAGCGAAGGCACAAACTTGTACTCTTTCCTATTTTCCAGGAATGTTGATTTTTTTTTTCCATTTAAGACCCTTACTAGGAGACCATGTCTTTAATTATCTGGGACTCTCTAATCCTGGAAAGCACGCCTCCTCCGGGCCACTCAGGAAAAAACCAGGGTGTTATTGCCAACTGGCTCTGGGGCTGAGCCCCACTGCTACCGCTGGCCTGCTGTTCTCCCACTCAGTGTGAAAAGGAATGACTTCCTTTAGTCAGTCCAGGAAGCACATTTCTCCCACAGATTCTCCCAGGAAATACAGTTTGTGTTGGCACATGTTATCTCAGGAATTATAGCACCGGGCCACAGATGGTGAGGACATCAAGCTTCGGGCGTCCCACTACAATACTTGCCATCCTCACCCCACCAGCACACCCTTAGTTGCCCGAACTCAGTCTCAGGTGCCTCATGCAGATGACCTTCCTAGGTTCCATTGCAAGTTATCAAATTATTAAGATTATTTAAAATGTTTAAATGTCTCATTGATGCCTTTATTTACATTGCTGTCACCTATGGCCTTCCCCCATGCCCCAACTTCTCTCCAGACCTCCAGATAGCTGAGTGAAATAATAGACATCGACCATGTCTCACAACATATGCCTCGTTCTACATCCATAAACTACCACCTCTCTGCTAAGAGGACAGAAGTCTGTTTCACTGGGTTCCAAATCTGCCTCACTTACCAGTCATGTGACCCTTAGCAAGTCACTTTGGTTTCCTTAGCTCTATCTACCATGGGGATGATAATAGCATCTACCTTTCAGGACCGTTGTGAGGATCAAAGGAAGTGAAGTGTTTTGCCAGCCTTAGGCCTTGGGAGCCAAGACTGGTCGCTGGACTGATCTGAGTTCTAATGTCTACTGACTGACTAACTAACTCTTGGTTGTGCCTCAGTCCCTAGTGTCTCTGAAACCTTCTTATGCCTGTCAAGATTCTCAAAGCAACAAAGTTGTCTTAACTGGGTACGTATTTTTTTTTAAAGCCTTTTTGTTGGTCAAGTATCGGCCTGGTTAATTCTCACATTTGCTCAAGGTGGACAGAAAAGTAAAAATAACTAACCTTTATATGGTGCTTTAAAGTTTGCAAAGAGTCAGTGTAGTTACAACAGCGCGCATTTATTATACTCATTTTACAGTTGAGGAAACTGGCTATGTAGCCAGTAAGCAGCAGAAATTGTATTTCAGCTCGGAGCTTCAGAAGTCTGCTCCATACTTGTGTCCCCTGAATTCCACAATGTCAAATGTAATAAGTAAAATACTTATCTCAGTAACGATGCATCTAATTAGATAAAGGTTTGGGAAGTTCAACTTTTGTTTCCCGGTCCCATCCATTGTCCGTGTTTTCTAGACACGGTGCCAGAGATTGGTTTGTCTGTTGTGTTGCTGGATTTCTTCACATTAAACTTGAAGCAGCCACAACATGGGAGCAAGGCCAAATAGACGTTTGGCTCCTGGGATATTCTGTTGGGTTAGTGGGTGCTAGCTTTCAGCTTTATGGGGAGACAGGGGGAAAAGGTAATGGGGACTTTCTCTTGAATGGGGGCGATTTGCAGCTTACAGATGCTCCACGAAATCAGGACAACCATGAACTGGAGGGATCTCATTTATTTACTCTTACAAAACCAATTCCATAAATTCCGGTAGTTAGCCAAAAGCCTGAGGAATGAAATGGAAGTGACCACCATCCTGGCTAATCCTATCAATTGGGTATTTCAGCAGCATCCTATTGAGGGGAAAAAAAAAAAAAAAGGTCTTGTGACCTTCAGATCCTTCTGTACTAGACCAAGGAAGAGGAGGGCCACTCCTCGTGAGCAATCCCAGGGAACACAGGATTTAGGGCTAGGAGGGCCCCTGTTAATTGTATAGTCTAACTCCTTCATTTTACAGATAGAGAAATGGAGGCCCAGGGAGGGTGATTTACCCAAGGTCGTGGAAGTAGTAAGGGGTCAGGTCAAGATTTGATCCCAAGGCCTCTGACTCCATATACTTATTGCCCAAAGTCCTCAGACATTAGCTTTCATTTGGTTGGCTCAACATGGCATTGTGCACTTCAGAATAATGAATAAATAATGTCTTATAATAGTAATTATCCCCCACCCTAGTGGAAAGAAAACTGGAATTGGTGTCAGAGTGCAAATCTCAGCTTTGCTACTTCCTATCTATGTGACCTTGAGCAAGTTTGTTTGACCTCCCTGGGTCTCAGATCCCTTTTCTGTGAAATGAGTTTTGACTAGATGATCTCTAAGACCCCTTCCAGCTCTGCATCTCATCCCTAGGACCCTATGTATTTGATGCCTCATCATGCCACAGAGGGGACTGGGGCTTTGTCAGCACTGCGTCTGCAAGCTGCCAATCACGTCAAGCTCTGACAAGCCCTACCAAGTTGGAAAGGCTTTGAGTGTGTGGCAAATGATGGACTGTGTATATTATAATAGTGATGATAATTTGCAGGAAGGGCAGCTAGGTGGGCCTGTGGTCAGGAAGACCAGACTTCAAATCTGGTGCAGACATTTCCTAGCTGTGTGACCCTGGGTAAGTCACTTCACCCTGTTTGCCTCAGTTTCCTCACCTGTTAAATAAGCTGGAGAAGGAAACAGCAAACCTCTCCAGTGCATCTCTGCCAAGAAAACCCCAAATGGGGTCACAAAGAGTCAGATGCAACTGAAATGACTGACCAGCAACAATTTGCAGGAAGGAGCAGGAAGACCCTTAAGCTATGGTAGAGACACAGTTTTCCTTGGAGAAGAGTTCTGAGACGGTAGTTTCCTCAACTGTAAAACCAGGGATATCTAGAATCCTTTCAACTGGACTTGGGGTCAGAGGGCCTGGTCTTTACTAGCTCTGTGACTTTGGACAAGTGCTTTTCTTTCTGTGGGCCTCAGTTTACTCATTTGTCATAGGAGGGGGTTGATCATGGTTTAGAGCTGGCAGGGAACTTGGAGAAGTCATGCAAAAACATCACTTCCTAAGGATCTAGTCTTATCTAAATGCTGTTAAGGCGTCTGTCCGGCGAGGCCCCGGAGTGGGGGAGGTGGGAGAAGGGGCGGGGCGAGGGCTAGGGGGCGGGGTGAAGGGGAGGGGGCGGGCCAGGGGAAAAGGGACGAGGCCCCTCCTACTAGACAGTGCGCGTCAGGGGCGGGCCTCTCGTGCAGCCCTTCCCTCTGACGTCAGGGCATGCGCATGAGCCACCTTTTCAGGCAAGCCGCAGTCTTCAGCCGTCATCCTTCGAAGTCGGTCGTGTTCTTTAGCTCGTCGTCGTCCTCGGCCGAGCGCTCCCTTGTGAGCGCTCGGCCGAGGGATCCCAGGGGCCTGGACATCAGCGAAGCCCAGTCGGAAGCGCAGCGCAGCCCTTCGGTGAGTCCCCAGCGTCCTCTGCCCAGCACATTCCCGTTGCCCTTTTGTCTACCCAGTCTTTGTCTCCTCACCTGTCATGGCGTTCTGCGCAATGCAGAGCCGCAATTTCGGCCTGGACCGCCAGAGGGCGGCATGGTGCAGCTTCCGCCCCCCCCCATTGGACTCGTAGGGCGTCTCCCGTGAGGCCATGCGGCCCGCAGCCTCTTTATACCTCCACTTCCGGCCACGTCGCCTTTTTTTCGGATGACGACGCTGCGGCAGCCATGGTGGGCGTGTAGGGAGGCGCAGTAATCTGGTTTAATCCTACCTCTTGCGCGTGGGCCTGGAGGTCCGCTGGGCCACAGCGGAGCTTTGCACTCCCGAGGAGTCCGTTCTGGCCGGGAAGCGCTCGAAGATGGGCTCGCCCGGGGCTCCGGCTGGGGGTGGTGGGCAAGAACAAAGGCAACATGGCGGCCGCGGGGGGAGGGTTGGGTGTGGCCGTGGCCGTGGCCGTGGCCAGCCTTCCGGACCCAGCCTATCGAGGGCTGAGCCAGGCAGCCAGGGCCCAGGCTGGGGGGTGGAGACAGGAGAAGCAGGGTGTGAACCGCAGGCTCGCGGTGACTCGCAAGCTCTGGCCGCTAGTGGGCGCTCTCCTTGTAAGGCGTTGGTGAAGTCTTTGATTCCGGCCTCCCAACTTTATATTTTTTTCCAGGTGAAGGTCCCTAAAACCCGCAGAACTTTCTGCAAAAAGTGCGGCAAGCATCAGCTTCACAAAGTGACGCGGTACAAGAAAGGCAAAGATTCCCTGTATACTCAGGGTAAGAGCAGTGGTCGCTGCTGGGGAGGAGGAGTGGTGACCCTTGTGTCTTGACAGGTGGAAATGCTCATAGAAGAATCTATGCTTTAGATACTGGTATTCTTGCCTAAAAAGCAGCTCAGTAAAGAAAAAAGTTATCCAAGTAGATGTTCGTACCTCCTGTGGCTTGCAGTATGGACTTGTTTAGTAAGTTTTCTTTACTTTTCCTAGGAAAAAGGCAATACGATCGGAAGCAGAGTGGTTATGGTGGTCAAACAAAACCAATTTTCCGGAAAAAGGTGAGCATCGCATGGGGCAGAAGTAGCTAGGCTCCCCTGCTAAGGAAAAAGGGAATCTCACATATCTCAGCAACCCAGCTGTTGACCCTTACAGACATCCTCATGGTGCCTTTTGTTTTAATCTTGGAGCAGTCCACCATTTGTGGCAAAGCCTCTGCTCCTAGTAGTACTAGAAGAGAGCTGGTTTGTGTACCATAGTTTTCTTTATGACAAAAAGGTTTGCTTTAATTTAATCTTTGTTTCCAGGCAAAGACCACAAAAAAGATTGTACTGAGGCTTGAATGTGTGGAACCCAACTGCAGGTCTAAGAGGATGCTTGCCATTAAGAGGTGTAAGCATTTTGAACTGGGAGGAGATAAGAAGAGAAAGGTATGTATGTGACTGGGAATTTAAGCTGTTGTGTATATTTTCTTTGAACTTGCAGCCTTATTTGGGGATAGAAGCTATGTGTTAACCTGCAAAACCTTACCATTGGGGAATCGTTTGTTCTTGTCAGGTGAGGGATCATGTTGGTTTACAAACAAATGGAGTTTTTAAAATCTGTAATACCCCACAGTGTGGAATAGTGCTAGGCGTGGCACCCCAGAGACCTGAGTTCAAATGCTGAACATTTAATAACAGTGCCCTAGGTACAGGCACTTATACTGTTTACCTCAAGTAACTCCCTGGGACTTAGCAGATCTTCATTGGTAGATGGCCTGTTCCTATAAAAGGGTTTTCTCAGCTATTCCAAAACAATGGAGTTTCAGGAGTCCATGCTTGGTTTGGGCATCAGCAGCATTCTTAAATTATATACTAATCTATTTCTTCTGTTCTGTTACAGGGCCAAGTGATCCAGTTCTGAGTTTCATTGTTTTCGTCTTAATAGGAAAAAACCATTCCATTCCATTCCTTGGTTTTGTGTTTTCTGTCTTGGAAAGGAAGAGGCTTGAGTAAAACCAAGTCTCATACTATGTGAAGCTTTTCCCCACGTAGGAAAAGTTCTTGAGGATGTGGCTGAGTGTTGTAACTTTAATCATCTACTTAATGAGATTTGTATTGTGGAGAGAAAGCCCAGCTGGACATTTCTGGGGGGGGGGGGGCCTAGGGTCCTTGGTTATTAGCACTATGGCTAAAATAGTTACTGATAGCCTGGATTCCCAGGCAAATTAGGGATACAAAGTAATAAAGATAAGGATAGCTAGCCCCAATTTTATAGGCTTTCAGCAAATCCAATTCATCACCTTCAGGGATTGCCTTGTTTTCAAAACATTAACAAAGTGGGTTCCCATATCTATTTGGGTTAGGGTTCTTTGTAGAGAACTAATGATTGAATTGCCTGGTCATTAAAAGGATGGCCTATTAATTGAAAACTCATTTGTACCTTGTTTTCAAAGTGTTAAGTGACTTCCCATATCTATTTGGGTTGAATTAATCCTCTATGGAGAACTAATAGTGACTGAAATAATCTGATCATTAAAGGGATGGCCTGTTAATTGAAAACTGATATTAGTTATGTGTAGGGGTGGGTGGGAATGACAGCTGGTCAAGACTTGGAACAGTAAAGAATGGAGGTCATTGTTTCTTTATTTTACATCGTTTTTTGTATTACATAAACCCATGTTAGGCTTTAAGCCCTCTTGAGGGCAGAATGTTTGTCTGTGTCGATTTTTGTATCTTGGCACGGTGCCAGCATCGTGCCTTTCACACTAAAGGTGCTTAATAAATGTTGAGTCTTCCTAATAGTGTTTGCCAGACTCTTTTGTTGAGGGGGAACTATGCTTTGGGGGTGGGGGGAGAGAAAGAAGGAAACTGTCACGTCACCTTGAGAGTACTCCCCCATACTTGCCCTGGGGGGTAGTTGGATTGCAAATCACACATTTAGACCTTAGAACTGGGATGCTGCTCTAGATTTATAGTTGGGGGGGGGGTAGGTTATTTACAAATCATTAAAAGGATCATAAGTGGCCTAGAGGGAGCTTTTTAAGGAGTAAAATAGTTTAATGCCCAGCAGCAAATGAAAGGAGCCCATACTTCATTGTTGTGCCAGAAGGGAAGAAATCATAAAAGGTGATTTTAAAGACGTTATAAATTATAAGTTGTCTGACAGTAACGGAAATTAATTCATCAGAAGTGACATTACTGGAAATGGAATGATCCAAGTCATTAGAAGTGGGGTAGCAGGAAACAAAGTTATCCTGGTTAGTATTAATGGAAACTTTTGTGTTGCTGGAAAGTCTGTAACTTCAGTAGGACCGTGCCTGTGGGGTTTACTCGAACCTTCAATTGAGATGTCCATTCGTAAAGTCCCAGCTCTTCTTTAACAGGAAGGATTTGTGTGATGAGGCAGGCTGGGGCACACCCTAGTCCCTCACCCAAGGCAGCAGTGGAAAAAGCATAATTCTGAGGTCCCCCAATCTCTTTCTGGTTAAACACAGCCACGGCCCAGGCTAAATTTGACAGGGGCCGTTCCCATACTTCAAAGTCCTCGTCCTAGCAAAACAAAGACAGTTTCAGCATTAGGAGGCAATTACTCGTAGCCATAAATGTAGTCCTACAGTGTTAGGAGTAGAAGCTGTAGCCACCTTATCTCGCTCTGAAGCTGTCAAAACAAGTTTGACAGGTCATTCATTGGGATTCTAAAGGTCTGCAACTGCTATTCAATATGTGCAGATAAGGGCCAAAGAGAAAAGCCACTGTCTAGGGCAGGGCATGAGTGTAGTGCCATTGCTTCTATAAAGTGCATACCTCTAATATCTGTAAAACGAATGGATTTCTCACTTAGTGACAACCTTGAAAAACTGTCAGTGGAAGTGCCCTTTCTGAAATTCCTCAGTCCCATTTTCTCCCACGGGCCACCATCTTGCTATGTACCTTCCTCAGCCGGTAGCCCTGCTTGCCCAAAGGATCCTGGTTGATGGCAATCACATCTTCATTCTGCAGCAGGGACTTGGATTGGGGACTGATGTGTCGGAGGTCATTAGACATAAAGAGCGGGGCTGCCATGATAGCCCAGAGCACCATCTGAGTCACCTGTTGATCCCAGCTGAGTCCAAAGTTGCCGATCACTAACTGAGACAAAAATGTTACAGAAATAAGTGAAAACCACGTCTGATTCTTGGTGAGATTGACAGGGGCGGAAAAGCAGTGTTCAGCCACCTAAAGCTTCCAATTGGCCTGACTGTTTTCGGTAGGGGTTAGCCTACACGGATCACCTACAGATCCTTCCAAATCTGAGATTATGTATGACTCCAGCACCACGTGAAGTAATATGCCGCCCACATCCCCCAGTATTTGTGATGAGAGCACTTTATCAACCCCGGGATGCCACATGACTCAGTTACGCTCCAAGTACTCCATGTAGTGACTTCCACGCCTCGTGGTCTCGTGTGCTTACCATGTCAGGATCATTCCATCCCCCTGGTCCAGCAGCAGGAACAAGGCTCTCTTGCTTAGAAGCAGTCCAGGCCAGAATACTCTTCACACTACTCCAGGAATCGAAGATATCACCATAGTTCCTCCAGTGGTTACAGTACTGTCTAATTTCTGTGTAATTGGGCTAGGAGGCCAATAACAATTTAATTAATGATTCTTGAGTAAAGCATGATGGGGGGGGGGACATGCAGGAGAGGGAAAAGAAGACAATAATCGTAGATAGTAGGGATGTCATGTGACTATTGTGTACCGGAAGAAGTCAGCTTTTTGCTCTCAATAACTCCTACCATCATAACGGCCAAGTTGGGATACCAGGTCTAAACTAGGATTCCACTCAATTCTGGGCAAGACTGCCCATTGGTGGCTAAAGACTTCCAGTTTATTACTTTTAACTACCTCATGCTTTTGGCCTTACTGACAACTACCATTTGCTTAATCAAGCTTGGCCAGGGTGAAATTAGGGCCATGATCAGACACAGGCCCTTCTCAGGGCAGCCAGGGGTCCCACCTCACTCTAATACACTTTAAATAAGATACAGATGAGTAGCTAGGAACTTACAAGGGAGAGCCGAGTAGCTCCTGTCTGTGCTGTGAGCAGCACCCACCCAGCCTCAATGTGTAAGTGGGGAATTTACAAACGAGGTCCAGCAGCAGGCCCATGAAGAGTCAAGCTTTCTGCCAGGACGTGGCCTAAGAGCATCTTAACAGAAACAAGCCGTCGGGGGTGCTTTGCACAGGAGGTGTCCGGAAGAACTGGACATACTACTGGTCAAGTCCAGGACAAGACTTCTGGAAGCTGGCTTACCTCCTGGAAGTGCCTTGTATACAGGGGCCACTCACAGGAATAAAGAATGCTCCGGCCAGTTTTGTTTAGGGCAAAGGACATGTACTTATAGCCTGTAAAAGAAGAGCACTGGTAAGAGGCAGAAAAGGCCACTTCTCAACTTGGATGGATCCCATCAAGGGGGAATTCTCGGACAAAAGTAAGGCTCCTTGGTCAGATTTGGGAGCACCAGCAAGCAGACGCAGGAGAAAGCCTGGGACCTGACTTACTTCTAACTAGCTTCTCCTAGGGGCAGCTAGGGGGTGCAGTGGATAAAGCACTGGCCCTGAAGTCAGGAGGACCTGAGTTCAAATCCAGCCTCAGACCAAACACTTGACACTTACTAGCTGTGTGACCCTGGGCAAGTCACTTAACCCCAATTGCCTTTAAAAAAAAAAAAGATTCCTCCAAAATAGCTTCTCCTGACTGAGCAGCAGCGTAATTAGAGGAGGAAGTAAGGAAAACTATTTCTAGAGACTCGAATTTACATAGTGCTTTAAGGTTGAAAAGTGCTTTACAAATATGATCTCATCTAATCTTCACCAGGGCCCTGGGGGGGGGGAGGTGCTCTTATTATCTCCATTTTACAGTTAACTGGGGCAGACCGAGGTGAAATAACTTGCCCAGGGTCACCTAGCTAGTAAGTATCGGGAGGCTGGATTTCAACTCAAGTCTTCCTAACTTCAGGCCCAGCATTCCACCCACCGTGCCACCACAAAATTCAGAGGATGCTAGAGGGCTAAGAGTTGGAAACATTCACAGAGATCAAATTCAATCCATTCATTTTATAGTGGCAGATGTTAAGTGGCTTGCCCTCAGGTCCCCTAGGTCGTAAGGAGCAGAGCTGGGATTTGAACCAGGTCATCTGGTTCCAAATCCAGTCTTCTCATCATTGGAGCACATCACCTCAACTTCTTTTTTTTTTTCCTTACTCCTGTGATCATTTGGTGTCCTCTACCTTTCCCTTTCTTCTGTGAAGGGATAGTGATTCAAAATTAGTGATAGCAGGGGAGAGGAATATTAAGAGGCAGGGTCATATGGCACACAGATGTCAAGCACATATATGGCCTACAACACTGAGTGGGACCCCTACCATTAAAATGTGGGCAATATTTAACAAAACAAATTTAAAAAATACAATAGAACATAGATAATGTTAGTATGTGGTTTTCTAAGTCACTATGTATGGTTTAGGGTTTCTATCTGAGTTTGACACTATTGGGGTAGTGGATAGTGCTGGACTTGGGAGTCAAGACCAGGATTTAAATGCTTCTGACACTCACTGTGTGACATGGAGTCAGCCATGCTGGTTAACTCCTGTACCTAATGTAATTTTCCAAGACAGAGTTCAGGGAAGGAAGTTTCCTCCAAACTAATCTAAACACACAGAACTATTTCTCTCTGCCTGCCCCCTAAAAATCCTCAAACAAAACCAAAAAACAACCTCCCACCCCCCAAACCCACCTCAAATGAAAATGACTGAATACTAGCCACTCCTCCTCTCTACTGCTTTGGGACTTTTTTCCAGTGAGAATGGAAACTGTTGAGTCATTAAACTATTTCTAGTTTGCTAATATTTCACAAACCAACATTTTTGTCTACCAGGGCATATCGAAGCTTGGGTAAGTCCAATGTACCTGGAGGTGAGTAGGTGCTCAGAGAGGATTTGTTGAATGAAGGGGCCAAGAGAGTCTGAGATATGAGGGATAAAAATAAGAGCTGAGGTGGGGGTGGGGAAAGTACTTCAGGCTCTGAATATACCCAAGCTCTCTTGGTTGCAAGATATCTGACTTCAGTGGAATCTCTGAGCCCAAGCATACCTTCTACCAAACTTTCCAGATCTTTAGAGTTACATCCGTCAAATTTCAGCAGGTCCACTCCCCAGTCAGCAAAGGTTTTGGCATCGATATCATAGTACCCATAGCTGCCTGGGTACCCAGCACAGGTGAGAGTTCCCACATCTTGATAAATACCTAGCTTCAGGCCCTTGGAATGTACCTGGAAGAGAGAGAGAGAGAGAGAGAGAGAGAGAGAGAGAGACAGACAGACAGACAGACATACACACACACACACATACACACCACAGAAAGCAATGAAGGGAAAGACTGAAACAAAGACAGCCTTGTGCCTTGGGTGGGAAGAGACAGAACCCATCAGTGGCCTCCTCTACCCTTTCCCCTTCCTTTAGGTCTATTCCTCTAAGGCAAAGCTATGGCCCGCAACATTCCTGAGTATGGCTGAAGCAGAATAAAATGTAATCGGAAAATATTTAACAAAATAAATACAAATACAATAAAATATAGATAAAGTTAATTTGAGGTTTTCTTTCTTTCTTTTTTTTTTTGGTGAGGGCAACTGGGATTAAGTGACTTGCCCAGAGTCACACAGCTAGTGAGTGTTATCTGTCTAAGGCCGAATTTGAACTCAGGTCCTCCTGACTCCAGGGCTGGTACTCTACCCACTGCGCCACCTAGCTGCCCCTAATTTGAGGTTTTCTAAGTCAATATGCAATCATAAGGATACTTAGATAGCGTTTAGTAGCCCCCACTGCTTTATGAGTTTCACACCACTGATCTAATGTGCCTTAGCTGAATTGTGGGATTTGTCCCAAAACAATTTTAGCCAGGTGAAACCAAAGTTATTTAGTTTGGAACTAGATTAATAGCAGAAAGAAGAAAATCACTAACAAGTATATCTTTGCCTTGAAAAATGTCCTTGAGAGGAATCTCTTTTTCTAACATTCTATAATTGAGAGTATATTTCCAAATCTACGATCTGTACTATTGGTAGTATATCTACAAAACATTGATAAGGAAATACTTGTAAATAAATGTCAAAGACCAAGGTGCTTTATCCTGTTGGCAAATAGAGCGCTTTCGGCAAAGATTAGACACAAGGACTACTGTAAAACTGCTATCTTTGATGGAATGAAGATAAACTCTTCTCTATGATCAGATAACAGCAGCATCTATGTTTTCTGGGTATTTCATAGTGTCACAAGGACTATTTTGCAACATGCTTTTTTTTTTTTTAAACCAATAAAATGCAACCTCCCTGAATGGGAGGCAGGCTTCTTATCTATGAACTTACATAGTTTGCCAGGTGACGGATTCCACTGGGGAAGCGTTTGGGGTCTGCCTTGAGCCTACCATTCTCGTCTCGTTTGGAGGCCAACCAACAGTCGTCGATGCAGACATACTCATAGCCTACATCCTTCCAGCCTTCCGATACCATAAGGTCAGCCATCTGCATGAAGAGCTGTTCACTGAGGGATGAAAATCAGAGTTACCATGACAGCCAATGGCAATCAGGAATAGCTTCACAGAAGATATCAGGACCTTCTTCCACCCCAGATAACAGAAAGATCAACACCAAACAAGAAACTGAACGTGCACTAGGACAGTCAGCACAAATTCATTTACCACAATGACTAGAACCTGGGGGCAGTTACTGCTGCCATGTGCCATTAAGAGACTTCTGGAATGATTTCTCTACAGACAATGATCTGTAAACTGCCTTTAAGAGATGCCCTAGGACAGTTGCCTTTGTAGGTTTGTTTTTCCAGGGATGAGATCTGACTTCCTTTAGTGAGCACAGTACATACTGATCTGTTTGTTGTATGAAGAAGAAAAGATGAGCTACATTTACATAGCTCATTAAGGCTTGTAAAACATTTTATATACATCATTTCATTTAACTCTAACAACCCTGTGAGTAGAAAACAGAGGTAATATTATCTCCATTTTACAGATGTAGAAACTGAGACAGAAAAAAGTGAAATGACTTACCTGTGGTAACACAGCTAGTGTCAGAAGTGGAATTTGAACCCAGGTCTTCCAGGTTCCACCTGTTATTTATTAGGCCAGGCTGTTTCTCAATTTGTGGCACTGCCCCTTCTGAGGTGGGTCACCCTTACGTAAGTCACTTGCTTTCCCTGGCCCTCAAGTTGTTCCTCTCTAAAATGAGGGATGGACTAGTTTATAGGATGCTTGACCTAGGAGGGACCTCTGAAGTCAGCTGGTCCATTGGCCTCACTCATTTGTCAAACACCTACACTGTGCTAAGCTCTAGGATATAAAGACTAAAAGGAACCAGCATCTAGCCTCAAAAGCAGCTAACATTTTACTGGAGGAAAACAACATGGGATCCTTGGAGCAGTGATTTAGAGCTGGAAGGGCCTTTGGAGCCCAAACTCCTCATTTTACAGATGAAGAAACTGAGGCCTAGAAAGGTTAAGTGACTTGTCCAAGGTCACACTGATCGTCAGAGACAGAGCTGGGATTTGAACTGAAGTCCTGACTCTATATCCATCATTCTTTCCATGTAGCATACTGTCTCCCACTGTACACAGATAATTAAGTATAAAATATCTGCAATGTAATTTCTGGAGGAGGGAATCAGGATAACCTTCTGTGAACTGAGCTTTGAAGGACACTGGGGATTGTGTGAGGCAGGGGTGAGGAGGGAAGGCATTACACAAGCCAGTTTGGCTGGAGCCATCACTGTGCAATGAGCCTGGAGTCGGACTGTGAAGACTTTGAAATTTCAAACAAGGAGTTTTGATTTTACCTCGGACTGTCTTGGCAGGAGAGTGATGGGAAAAATCATTCCGGCAGCAATGTGGAAGCTGGATTGGAATGGGGAGAAACCTGAGGCTATCATCCAGGTAAGGGGTGACAAAGGGCTGAATTTGGATGATGGATGTGCAACATGAGGGAAGGGGAGAAGGGCAGAGGTGGTATAGAAATGACAAGAGGTGGCAAATGACGGGATGTGGACTGTGGGGTTGGAGGGGTGAGGGAAAGAGAGAGGAAGCTGACTCCAAGCTTGAGTCTGGGGCACTGGTGCCCTCCAAAGAAATAGGGAAGTTAGGAAGGAAAACATTTTGTTTTGTCTAGGGGCTTTGAGAGGGAGGGGAGGGGAAGGAGAGCGTTAAGATTTTAGAAGAGGAAACTACACTTTAAGGTTCCTTTTTCCTTGTCTATCAAACGAAGTCCCCAAATGGCCCCAAAGCCCTCCGAGAGCCCTCCGAGCTCTGGAACTACAATCCTTCTCGGAGCCTCAGCGACCTCCTCTGTCACACTGGCCCAGAAGACCCCCGACACTCCTCCAATGACGGCAGCCTGATGGCCCCTGGCTGGACCTCTGGGGCCGGCCCTGTCCCTCACCTACCTGATGCAGTTCTCCGGGTCTTCGATGCAGTCCACGTTACACGTGAAGCGCTCCCAGTGCAGCCAGCCCATGGTCGGGGTCAGGGCCAGCCCGTTGTCCAGGGCAGTGACCCCAGGCACGCCCACCAGAGTCAGGACCAGGGCCAGGGCCAGGGCCAGGGCCAGGCTCAGGCTCAGGCACCCGAAGGCAAACGCCCGGCCCTGCTCCCGCCTGAGCTCGGCCGCCCTCGATCTGCCCATTTCCGTCTGGACCCCGAGCCCACAACTCAAACTCCGCGGTCCTACGCTCCCGGCTCACCCGGGTTAAATGCAGGAAAGGACCAATCAGCACTTGAGGCACGGCGGGCCTCCGCCTATCAGCGGCTATTCCTGGAACGGTGGGCGGGAGGTTCTCGGGAAGGATTACCAGCAAAACCCTGGGCCATTGCCGGTCATGTGGCCGAGGGACGGCGCTCACGTGACGCAGGGTTCATGTGACGGGAAGCCGGTGCTGGGCTCTTGTCGGGAATCTTATCGCGATCTTGTCGCGGTCCGCCTCGGGCCTGAGGAGAGCCGAGGGGGACGACGGGAGCGCGGGAACCTGGGAGTGGTGGGGCGGGACGGGACCCGGCCGCGAGGCGGCCCGGCCTCAGAGCGGCATGGGGACTGGGCGGGCCACGCGGGCTGCCCAGTCCGGGCGCCTTGCTTCTGTGGGCCTCAGGCTCCCCTTCTCCGTTGTGTTTTTATTTACTTGTTAAAAGTTTTCCAGTTACTTTTTTTTATTTTAATTGTTAGTTTTAGTTACAAATTCTCGCCCTCCACCCCCTCCCCCATCCATTAGGAAGGCAAGAAATATTATCCATATTATACATACGAAGTCATGAAAAACGTATTTCCTCTTTAGCCATGAGAACCTCCATTGGCTGGGCCCTTTGAATGGAGGCTGCCTTTGCTGTGGTTTTTTTTTTTTTTTTTTAATTTATTAATTAAAAAGAGAGATAGACTGCTTTTGCCCTGGACCCCTCGGAGCTTCTTCCTGCTTTCTTCTGAGTATTCTTTTAACACTTTTTTCTTTTCCTTTTTTTTTTTCCCATCCGTCAGTGCCTCTCCCCTCTCTTAGGCTTCAGTCTTCTCTCCTTATCTGGCAGCTTTTGGGCACTGCACCAAGCCTGTTGAGAAAAGATTTAATAGAAGGGTCTATTAAAAAGACTTAACAATATAATGGTAATATTGGGATAATGTTGTAAACCACAAAGTACTATATAAATGCTAGTTATTATTATTATTATTATTATCATTATTCCTGACTCCAAGGCCAGCCCTCTATCGTCTGCACTTCTATCCTGTACTTCTCAACTAATGGATTCATTAGTTCAGTCATCTTAAGTGGACACCCCATTTGGGGTTTTCTTGGTAAAGATACTGGAGTGGTTTGCCATTTCCTTCTCCAGCTCATTTTACAGATGAAGAAACCGAGGCAGGGTGAAGTGACTTGCCCAAGGTCACACAAGGAGTTAACTGTCAGATCAGACTTGAACACTAGGAGAGGAGTCTTCCTGACTCCAGGCCCAGAACTCTATCCACTGCACCACCTAGATCTGTCCTATCTTGGGGGCCAGAGGGGTTTTCAGTTAGGGGTTGTTTTACTTTTCATTCATTCTACAAACATTTAACAATCTCCTAAGGTTCTTTGCCCTGCATTTGTTTACTTCACGGGTATATATCTCTGATCCAATTAAACTAGTTTATCTCCTTTCCACTCTCCAAAGCAATGCATAATTTTATCTCTGTGCCTTTATCATGCTTTTTCTCTCTCCCTCCTTCTCCCCCCCCCCAAGAAAAAACTAAACAACTTGGAATGCCTCTGTTCTTCCCCACTATCTATTTAAATGCTATCCAACCTATGAGGCCCAGTTCAAGTTTCACTTCTCCAGGAAGCCTTCCCAGGCTATTCTAGCCCACTGGGAGCTAGGTCTCTTCCTTTGGTCAGCTTCTATTGTTTTAGCTATTAATTGTTATGTAATTATTTCTTGTGTGCTAATTAATGTTTTCTGAGCCAGTAAGTTCCTTGGAGGCTGATATCCTGCTTTAGACTTTTTATATTTTCAACTCCCAACACAGTGATGGTCATATAGCTAATAAGGCTGTTACTATTTTTCTGCCAGCCCCATATTTAAAAAACAAACTGATAGATGAACAAATGTAGAGCAGTGATATGTTAAGAAGAAGGGGTGCAATAGTGACTGGAACAGTGACGAATTTCTTTAAAGGCCCACAAAACAACCTAGCCTTGCCCCACATTTGATCCTAAGGGTAGGCTTAGGGGTAATTCTTTTTTAAGTTTTCTAAAATTTAAATTGTTTTATATTATTTTCAGTTCCAAGTCCTCACCTTCTCCCTTCCTCTCCTCTACCCATTAAAAAGACATTAAAAGCAAAACTCATTACGAAGAGGCTAGTCATGCAAAACACATTTCTGCATTAGCCATGTTCCAATTTTTTTTAAGCAAGAAAAAGAAGAAAATATGTTTCAATCTGTGCTCTGAGTCTATCAGCTCTCAATCTGGAGGCAGATACCTTGTTTCATCACGAGTCCTTTAAAATTATGTGTCATTGTGTTGATCAGAGTTACTAAATCTTTCAAAGTTGACTATCTACAATATTGCTCTTACTGCGTAAATTGTTCTCCTGTTTTTGCTCACTTCGCTTTGCATCAGTTCATAAAATCCTTCCCAAGTTTTTCCGAAGCCACCTCCGTCATTCCTTATAGCACAATAGTATTCCACCTCATTCATGAACCATAATTTACTCAGCTATTCCCCCAAATGATGGACATCCCCTCAGTTTCCAATTCTTTGCCACCATAAAAAGAGCAACTATAAATATTTCTGTACATGTGGGTTCTTTCCCTATTTCTCTGATCTCTTTGGAGTATAGACCCAAGTAGCAGTATTGCTGAGTCAAAGGGTATGCACATTTTAATAGCTTTGGGGGCATAGTTCTAAATTGCTGTCTAAAATGGTTGGACAAGCTCACGGCTTCACAAGCAGTGCGTTAGTGTACCTGTTTTCCCACATCACCTCCAGCATTTGTAATTTTCCTTTTTTCCTCCTCTTTGGCCATCTTAGCCAATTTGATGGGTGTGAGGTGGTACCTCAGAGTTATTTAATTTGCAATTCTCTAATTACTAGTGACTTAGAGCATTTTTATATGGCTATTGATGGCTTTGATTTCTTCCTCTGAAAAGTATTCATAATGGTGCTTATTCTTGTAAATTTGACTCAGTTCCGAACGTATTTTAGAAATGAGACTTTTACCAAAGAAAACTTCTTGCAAAGATTTTTCCTTTGGTTTCCTGCTTTTCTTCTACTTTTAGCTGCATTGATTTGTTTGTATAAAACCTTTTTAATTTTATATAATCAAAATTATCCATTTCACGTCCTGTGATCCTTTCTGCCTCTTGTTTGATCATGAACTCTTCCCCTATCCACAGATGTGCCAAGGAATTTCTTTCATGCTCCTCCAATTTGCTTATCAGCCTTAAAGATCATTCTAGAGGGAAGAGCTAAACTCCCCCGCCATGGCCCCAGAATCACTCCTTTTCTCCCAGGGTTTTTCGGATCACAACGGATTCAGGCATGACTCTTTTAGAACACTATAGACCCTATTAGATCCCCTGGATCCTTACTGGGATGGACTCACATCCCTAGAACTTGATAAAAATCTGCTGGCTTTTAGAATTTGGGGCAAAGAAAGGCTAGGCAGAAAAGTCAATTAACACTCTCCCTCTTTAATTCTATTCAATGACAATTGTCCTTGTTGAGAACTGGAATGTGATTTAAAGCAATACTGATGGCAACATCATTTTAGCTGCCTTGAGAGAGACATTCCCCTTCTCCTTGCTTCTGTGAGAAATCTTTTTTTTTTTTTTTTTTTTTTTTGCTAGGCAATGGGGTTAAGTGACTTGCCCAGGGTCACACAGCTAGTAAGTGTTATGTGTCTGAGGCCAGATTTGAACTCAGGTCCTCCTGAATCCATGGCCGGTGCTCTATCCACTGCGCCACCTAGCTGCCCCTCTTCTGTGAGAAATCTTAAGAAAGTTGGGAGGAAACATGAACTTGCTTTGCTCAACATTTACAAAAATCCTTATCCAGAATGAATGTCCTTCAAAGCCCAAGGAATTCTTGGGTCTTGCATACAGTTTCTTTGTGTATTCAGAAATCTCTTCTTTCTTCTTTTCATTTCCCAAGAAAGCCCTATGTGTGGTCTCCTATTTGCCCACTAGATGTCACCAAATCCTGGGTGTGGAAAGGGACACGGGTGGGCAGAAGGTTCCCTTGAGACTGTTCAACAGAGGCTGGTTTAGATTCACTCCTTTCATCCTTCCTTCTCTTGAGTCTCCATTTCCTTTCTCTTCTCCTTCTTTTCCTGTTCCCTCGTAGAAAGAAGTTGAGTTCTGCCCAAGGTGCAGTTAGTGATCCTTCCTCTTCTGACAGACTTGAATTTCATTTTCTCCCTCAAATGCTTGACCTCTAGAGCAGGATTTCTTCATTTTTTCATGGACTGCTCTCCACCACCACCACCCCCGGCAGTGGAGTGAAACCTATGAGCCTTTTCTTAGTTTTTAAATGCATCAAACAAAATGCACAGGATCACCAAGAAAAACCAATTCTATTGAAATAGTTATAAAAATATTTTTAAAAAGCCAATGGACCCCAGGTTAAGAACCTCTGATCTAGAGGGGAAATCATTAAGAGACTTGAGATAGCAATTTGATGACTAAAATGGGGAACTTGATGTGAGAATACATTTCCTTTGCCTTTGAATAGAATTTGTGTGGGTGACCATATTTATGTCTGTCCTTTAGGAAAGTAAACCCTTCTAGGACAGGGCCCATGTATTTTGGGGCTAACTTTTGCATTTCATCTGGCGAACTACCTCACCCCAGTACAATAGGACATATAAGCCATAGCGTTCTGTTGTTACTGCAGTTCAACTGTAAATGCCTTGGATTTCCATGACTCCTTCTTTTCTTTTGATGAATAATAATAATAATAATGATAATAGCTAGCATTTTATAGCACCTATTAAGTACCAGGCACTGTACCAAGCACAAATATTATCTCATTTTATATTCACAACAACCCTGGGAGGTAGGTGCTATTATAATCCCCAATTTACACTTGAGGAAACTGAGGCAAGCAGAGGAGAACTCAAAGTGATTTCACAAATAGCATCTCTTTAATCTTTGAAATATATCTGGATAATTGAGAAAATGAGGTCATGAGAGGTCATTTGGCT